TATGTTCAGTTGTATACTAACACAATCTTACTGAGAATTTTGTTGCAGGGCAACACCCTCAAATGCTCGGTTGAAGACATTGAACGCTTTCATCCGAGAGTTAGGGACGACGACACGCGTAGCTTCCTAGACGTAAGATTCTAAAAATTCTTTCAAGTATAATATTAATACGTTAAATTCTTTTAGTTAACATGATTTTGTACAACAGAGACTGTCACGTCGGCTATGTCATACGGCTACTCGTTGTGGTTACAGGACAGCCATGATGCAAGACGTGCATGTTTCTTCCGCAGGCAGAGGATGCTTAGGTTCATCTAGCCAAGCACCTACAGGGTTCATAGGCATTGCGTACGAGGACGAGGATGAGGAGGAGGTGGACTAGAGGCATGAGGATCTTGGACCGTCTTAGCTACAAGACGCTCCCTCGACTTAGCCTACATAGCCTCTAGGCACTAGGCGACGCCATCCACCTGACCCTTACACTTTAGGCATCGACACTCTTGGTCACAAGGGTAAGGGTAAGACTAGAAGACAGTGATGGTTTGTGGTAAGATGTTATTATGTACTATTATGGACTTTGTGGACTTTCATTATGAACTATTGTGGACTGTATGGACTATTATTATGGACTATGAAATACTACGGACTATAATTATGGACTGTGTAGACTATTAATATGCTCATGTATATGGTTTGAGATGAATGTGGCATATATTTGTATGTTTGAACATGTTGTATTGAAGTTAAATATTCATGTCATATTTGTGTATGAATTGCATCAAAAAAATAGGGGAAATTATGCCAAAATTTTCTGCCTAAAGTACATTTGTGCAGTATACCTATACCATCTAGCCTTTATAGTGATTTATCATGTCACCATCGAATAGGCTTTTCAGTGTCCTTCGAAATAATGATTTAAGTCCTAATTCGAATAGGCTTTTTAGTTATAGAATCTAGGCTCTCCAGTGTTCTTCGATGTAGGCTTTTCAGTGATTCGGAATAGACTTTCCAGGAGCATTTACAACATAATACAATGGCAAGCAAACCTGCCTCCGCCTATATATATGCGTTCCAGGATGCATTGCTAACCAAAACAAAACCAAACTAGTATTTGGTTTCGTTGGAGTAGGAATGTCTGGAGAGTCATCTAGAGGAAAGGGTTTCGAGAGTGGGAGAGAAAAGGGGAGGACGAAGGGAACTCCCATTGTGTGGGAGGGGTCTCTTGGGTCTGATTTCTTTGAGGAACCAGTGTATTAGTTTCTCCCCGAGAGCAAGAGTGATTTCACTAAAGAGTGCTCTCTCAGAGGATACGATAACCGGAAGAAAGATTGGCCAAAATGCATGCATGGTGATGACTGCTTAGTGTAGATGTTCACCGAGGGGATCGACGGAGGTCATCGCTTCTTGAAATGCCCGCGAGCATGAGTAATTGCTATTACATTTCATTTGTTAAATATGTTTCTCGAAAAACCTTACAACTTACAGGACATACTTATTATAGTCTTTCGAGTCTGAAGAAAACTGTGGGTTCACTAGGTGGGTCGATCCTCGACCAATTTATTTACATCAGCAGTACATCTACTACCTACAGGACCGTATTTTGATCTACAAAGGAAAGTTAGCAGCGGTTACAAGAAAGACGAAGACGACGACAACAATAATGGTGCGGGTTCACAAGAGGCACTCTATAATGATCTATATTGCACCTGCCCTAATCACAAGAACAAGGGGCCTCCGCATCACCCCCGCCACCACCATCATCAACAATGGGAGGCTACTGTGGAGAAGGTGCAACACAATTTGTTATGTGGCCACACTACTAGGACGACCCTATCTTATTCACATGGCATATCCATATGTTTGTTGTTTGGTTTAATTACCTAAGTCATGTTAGGTTCAGTCGAAGGAACTATGTACCCTTGTTTGATACATGTTCTCATATGCCATTTTGTGTGCTTGTTGTTCGCTTCAATCACCTAAGGCGTGTTAGGTTTAGTTTAGGACCTATGTACCCTAGCTTGGTACATGTTCTCATGTGCCATTTCATGTCTTGTGCGTGTTGAATTATATAATGTCCTACTTCGTTAGGTTTTATTTGCAGTACGTGATCTCATTTCACTACGTCCGCAATATTAAACTGAATATTATGACCACAGATAACGAAAGCAACAACATAATGAAAAGTCCAATACTATGACACATTAAACAACACAATAATACTAGAAGTACATACCGACAAACTAAAAAATGCAGTACATGACCTAAGTATGTCCATACTTAAAGTGCATTACATGACAACACAATGAAAAGTTCAACAGTAGATAATATTGTTCATGAATAAACCATAGAACTAGCAAGTCATGGAGACTACTGAGTGCAACGAGGTCACTTTCCCTTTCTCAGGGCATCAGGATTCTCCTCCATCGCTGCTTTCGCTCGGCGTGCACGCTCAAGTTTCTTCTCCCTCTCCTCCCTGTATGCAGCAACACGCCTCCTTTCATCCTCTTTCTTATGCTCCTTTTCTGCAACCTCCTCTCTACGTCTCTTCTCCATCATCTTCTTTTCCTCTACCTCCCACCATAACAGTTTCTGCATCCATTCCTTGTCTTCAGGCTTGATCTCAGTGTCGATCCACTGCTCAAAATCATAGAGCGGTGGAGGGGTCTGCAACAAATGCAATTGTTATAAAACAAAAAAAATCATGCAAGATTTCATATGACACAAAATAATTATTACACAACATTAATTCCTCACCATCTTGTTAATGCGGCGCTGACGAAGTGTATGCTCAAACGCAAAATTGGAACACATCCAATATCTCTACCTATATGTGTTCTCTTCATCGGACTTGGCTACCTTGCAAGGATCGCCGCAAAAGCACATGGACACTGAAACACCACTAGGCAGAGGATATGGGTCGAAGGCATTTCTGGCCATCCGGCCATAACTACAATTTAACCAATTTCATTCTCAGAACCAAAAGCAATTAACATTAAAACCTAAACATAGGGTTTCCCATTTGATCCACAACAATGAACCCATAATATAACAACATACGCTGAGGTTATCTTGGTTTGCTAGCTTTGTCACGCATTGGCATCTTACGGTTGTATCATACAAATATTAAAAATTGCATGAAACCCTAAGTAATGATGATTCTTAGGTTGAAAAATTCGACTAATATATACCGAATCGATGCGAAAAAAAACTAGGAGGGGAGCGAGGATACCTTGCTCTCGAAGATCTACAGATTAAATCAAAGTTTCTAAGGTCCAATATGCCGATTCGTGAGGTAGGGCGAAGTGGAGAGAGCAAAAACCTGAGAGGGAGGAGAAAGAAGAGGAAGAAGCCTCGGTCAGGAAGGTTGGGCGGCAGATTAAAACACCACCTCGACGCCAATAACCCTGGCGCCAAGCTCGACGCCAATGACCCCGACGCCAAGGTGGCGGCCATGTGACCGCCACGTCTGCATCGATGCCGATGTGGCCGAGGAAGCTCAGCGCCAATTACTATGGCGCCGAGACGTGTAATCTCGGCACTAATTACTACGGCGCTGAACTGAGGTCTAGATTTTAAAAGCATACCTCCATAGACATATTTATGACAAACTTAAAAAAAAAGGAAAAAAAACAAAAAATTCGGGTACCGGCGCATGCCACACGCGTCTGTGTAGCACCCGTGTGTGCGCGTGTCCGTGGTGAAGGCACCTGATAGGGAGGAGCTGGACAAGGAGTTCAACACGATCCTGTGCGCGAGGCCGCCTGAGGTGGTGCTGGCACGGTACGATCTCGCGTGGAAAACGAGTGTTAGAGGTAGATGATGACTTCCAGGGCGGGTTCTGTAAATTTTGTCCTAGTCAACATCTTCCGAAGGGATATGGACCTTCCGTGCATAATTTAACAAAGTTCAGAGAGGCAGATTTTGATTTTGAGAGTTTGTAGACCTAAGGACCACAAGTGTATTTAACAGTATAATCTAATTGTAAAGGGAAAGAAAGGAGAAGAAAATAGAAAAAAACACGTCATTTAGAAACGTATTTATTTGTGTTCTGGCAGTTATTTTCACCTTACAACAGTTTATGACCAACACATTTTCACATTCAGCCAGCTGGATGAGATATTCGATATTTCCCTAATTTTCCTCTGAAGAAATCCGCGTGACGCGCTAGATGAGTCCTTGCTCCTAAAGCAGTCCATAGTGTCCGCGATAGTTTTGTCCAATGGAGTGAAACGGCCGGACACCCAAATTGATGAATTTCTTGGAGGGGTCCTTTGCCCTCAACACCCAATCTTGTTTGTCCTCTTGGATTCTAATGCGAAAACATGGTATCAGCAAGTGAAGAACAATGTGCAACTGACGAAACGCCCGGAGGTGTTATAAAAAAATGTATCACCTGTAAACTGAAAATTCAGGGTAGAGATGAGCAAGTTTATTGGTGAGATCGATCATCCGCACAGAGGACTCCAGGCATAAGTGGCGTCCCTCGGCAGATGGGTTCTCATACAGCACTATTAGAGACTGTGCAACGTCTCAGACATCAACACAGCCAATGAACTCGTCCATGTCATACCTCTTCCCTGCCAAGGTTAATTATACTCCTAGAAAAAAGAAAACGTACTCATACCAAATAAGCTGCAAGCCTGAAGCCTGTGTTGTTGCAGTGCAGATGACTGACCTTCAATGATCTGAAGAAACAATTGGATACTGGCCGTGATAGAGGGCGTCAAAGTAGGGCCCAACACCAGAGCTGGATTGAGCACAACGAGCTCCAAACCTGCGTTTTCGGCGAAGTCCCATGCGGCCTTCTCTGCCAGTGTTTTAGAAACGTTTTACCAAAGCTGCAACGATATGTAATTAGCACAGTCCTAACTCCTAAGTCCTAAGCTTATTACTGAATGTCTGAACTGGATCTTGCATGCAAGTAGATAGCAATTCTATTGGATAAATCTGTCAGTGTGGAATGGACCTAAAAGAAAACCATGTACCTGAAGTTTCTTGAGCTACTCGATGTCGACCCAGGAGTCCTCATCTACGACCTTGTCAGCAGGCCACGCAGGATTTGGCACCATGGCCGTCTGCGATGACACCATGACAACACGGCCGACTCCACACTCTTTCGCGGCGCGGAGGACGCTCAGCGTGCCCTTCAGCGCAAGCTCCACCAGCTCATTCTTCAATCAAGCAGCGTAAACACCAGTTTATCAGCACGGACTAGCAATTTATCAGCAAGGATTTTTCAACACTGTCTGATTGAATATGGAGAAGGATCGAATTGCCTCAGGGTCCTGTGTAGGATGCAGGATGACCGGAGAAACAACGTGGAAGACGCCGCGGGCGCTCTCGACCGCCGGCCGCACGGAGTCGGGTTCGAGGAGGTCCATCTGGAACAGCCGGAGTCGCGAGTCCGCTCCATCCAGGGCCTGCAGGTGCTTCGTCTCGCTCTCGTCCTCTGAACGAACAACCAGTTTCGATTCGGTGAAGCGAGCGCAGGGGCAGGCATGCGAAGGTAATAAGGAAACGGAGAGATCAAGAGCATGTGACGCACCGAGGTTCTTGACGGTGGCGTGGACGGTGTAACCGCGATCGAGGAGGAGGCGGACGAGCCAGGAGCCAACGAAGCCGCTGCCTCCCGTCACGCAGACGAGGCTGCTGCCGCCGTCTCCGTGAGATGCCATCGCGATCGGTCTCGTCGACAGGGGAGCTCGGGTAGGTGTGTGCCGTCTGCCGCTTTACTCAGGAAGGCAGAGACAAAACATATAGCTCGGAGTGAAGGCAGAGACAAGCATGTGCCGTCTGCCGCTGTACTCAGAGTCAGTGCCCGGCACACCATGCCCAACCGACGTGGACAGGGACCGAGTGCACGTTTGGCGCGTGGCGAGGTCGACGGAAGCTAGATGGCAACGGATCGGGTTTGGGGATGGTTTTTTATCCACGGTTTTCGGGTTCGGGGCCCCGAAATCAATCGGGTTCGGTTTCGGGTTTGGTTTTCCACCCGTGGATATCCAATGGATATCCGAAATAAATCATTTGGAATTAAAACTCATGTTTTATAATATACTAATAATAATTTGTTTACTTAGATTATTAAATTTATTTAAAGTTGACTCATAAAAATATTTATTATTTGTTGCCTCTTGTTTATACATGTGAATATGTGTATATATATACGCGGTTTTCGGGTATCCATTCGGGTTTCGGGTATCCGTTCGGGTTTCGGGTATCCGCGGGTTTGGTTTTGGTGATGGATTTCCACCTGAATCGATTTTCGGGGCGGATTCGGGTTTCGATTTTGGGTTTCGGTTTTGGGTGCACGGAGACTCCACCCGACCCGTTGCCATCCTTAACGGAAGCCTCTGAGGCGTGTCGCAGGGAGCCGCACAACAAGCATGCAATATGCATACAACAGGGGATGGATGAAAAACTCGAAGCTCGTTAGCTCGCTCGGCTCGTGGCTGGCTCGACTCATCTCGACTCGACTCGTTATGATAACGAGCTGAGCCGAGCCAAGATTTTAGCTCGTTAGCTATAACGAGCCAACTCGAGACAGCTCGCGAGTCGCTCGCGAGCTAAACGAGCCAAGCTTCCAGAAAAAAGTATCAAAACTTGTATTAGTTTTTGTATTACTTCATGTCTTGCACTTTACAATTGACTAGTAACTGGTCTAGACCTTATAAATTGACTGGTAACTGGTCTAGATGTATTTCTTTTGTATTATTATTATTCTGAAACTTTAGATAAATGCAAATATTATATTTTGTGTATTTTTTATATCTGACTCGCGAGTTTAACGAGCCAGCTCGAGCTTTTAACGAGCCGAGCCGAGCTGGCTTTCTGGCTCGTTAGGATAACGAGCCGAGCCAAGCTAGCTCGTTATCTTAACGAGCCAGAACGAGCCGAGCCCAAACGAGCCGAGCCAGCTCGTTATCTAGCCTTAGTCCTATCCTTTATCGACCTGGGTCGATACATTGCGTCGCTGGTTCGTTGAAGAACCAGCGCCTTGTTTAGTTGCCAAATTTTGAATATGCAAAGTTGGCAAAATGTACTGTAGCATCATTGTAGCATTTCGTTTGTGTTTGGTAATAATTGTCCAACCATTGACTAATTAGGCTTAAAATGTTCGTCTCGCAAAGTACAACCAAACTGTGCAATTAATTTTTTAATTTTATCTATTTTTAGTATTACATGTATGTACCACAAGTTTAATATGACGAGAAATCTTCTTTTTACGTAGTATCAAATTGAGAGTTTGGAAGGAACTAAACACAGCCCAGCTGCGATGGATAGAACCCGCTCCCATCCACCATTCTCTCTCCTGCCGCAGAATCATCTCGTAAAGAAAGGAGGGGTGGGGGCCACTGGGCACCGGCACCAGGCGCTGTTGGCCTGTTGGTCACCGAGCATCGCAAGTTGGGCTGACTTTTTTTAAATGTCGTGGGCTCCATTTATAGGTTCGATGTCGGTTCTATACATCGCTACGTTTTTAACAGGTGCCATCAAATCATGGGATAGAACCAGGATCGATCCTATACACTGCTGATGCTCTTATGACTTATCCGAGTGGTGTGGACACCACCAACAGCCGGTTATTTTTTTTCTTTTGGTAGAGTACATTTTTCTAGACTCGAGCTCGCATTTAAGTTTAATTTTCAATCTTCAACTATAAAACCGGGTAACAGACACCCTTTAACTGTCAATGATCCTCGACCGGTTCCAACAGCGGTTTTTCTTTTTCTAATAACAATAAAAATCCGATTCGATCTCTACAAGTTCGTAATTAATTTATTTTAAATTAACGAAATATGAAAATAGTTCATGTTTTCTTCTAAAAATGATATATATATATATATATATATGTTGATACTATATTTAAGATCTTAATTGTTTTAAATAAATAACAAGCATGACAACGAGCAATAAAGCAATAGGAACATAAATAAGCCAATTCAGGTACCTATATATAAACCATAAACAAGTAGAGAATATTTTTAGAAAAAAGTACTAGTTTTATCTAAAATACATGTTGCGGGGGGATAGCAATGCTACTGTATACATTAACACAGGGCTTGACGCTTGCGGCCCGTCTCTCAAGTTGTTTTTGGCCAAAAGCAAGGCTTGGCACCCGTTGCGTGGGCGGAGACGAAGGCAAGGAACTGTCATGTAAAAGAACGAAAATCGAACAATTTAATTTCGTGCAAAATTAAATTCCATGCAAAATTTAATTACTGTGTAAAATTTAAAACAATTTTAAATATAGCATCAACGTATATATAACATTTTTAGAAGAAAACATACATGAACTAGTTTCATATTTTTATAATTTAAAATAAATTAATTATGAACTTCTAGAGATCGAAGCGGAATTATTATTATTAGAAAATAGAAAACCACTTTTGAAACCAGCAGAGGGCCAAATTTGTCCGGTTTTGATAGTTGGAGAGTGTCTGTTATCCGATTTCATAGTTGAAGGTTGAAAATCGAACTTCAATGTGACTTGAAGGTTGACAAATTTACTTTACCTTTTTTATCTGTATATATCTCATATGTCACTCGAGTGACGGGCCACTCTTTTTTTCTTCTCCCAATGGATCATTATTCATCTTCCTCCTCCTGACGCGTCGTCACCGCCCAGCGCCCACCGCCCCGCCACGACGCGGCAGGGTCTCACTTGAGCTCCACGGGACCATGGGCGCCCCCGTCCCGACCTAGCCCGATCGCCTCCACCGTCGTCGAAACTATAATGCTGCCCTCCCGCCGGCCCCACCGCTTAGCTTAAATCGGATATCAACCAGAATATAAATAGTACTAGGCATCGGCACCTATCAATAAATGCATATTTGCTTTTATATACTCCTGGGAGTAGTTACTTTCATAATCAATAAATCACGTTGCGTATATGTATATACTCATTTGTCAATTTAAGTATGTTGACATACTAATATTAAGATACTCCAGATCTTTACTATGTGAATTTTTTTTAAAAGAGCACATATTTTCTAATATATTATATAATACTATGATAGTAGCATATAAAATAAGTATAACCATATACTCTAAGTATACATACATACTTATCATATATAGTACCCTAGATGGTCTAGTATAATGTTGAGACTAGCGGTCTCAGACAACGTGGAGGAGACAGAGGCCTCCGCCCGCCGAGCGTCGCCCTCAAGCGGAGGCTCGGGATAGGCACGACAGGTGGGCGTGTAGGAAACTGGTACGGAAAGCTAAGGTTTCATTAATTCATCCACCATCCATCTGCACTGTTACAAGTGTTCCCTATTTATAGGGCTCAACTACTTCTTGACAGAATTTATTACAATGCCCCTCAACTGCTACAGTACATTCCTGGAATATTCCGCCACTAGTCTCTTGTTTGCGGGGCAATCCTGCCACATCGTCTTCAAGTAATGGACCTCCATAAGCGGCCGGCCCACCGTGCCTCGGTCTTCGGCCCAGAGGCCTAGGTTCCCGACGCTGGCCTTCGTCTTGAGTAGCGCCGCTGCCTACTGTGAGTCTCACTTGATCCAGTTGGAGACATCATCCAGTAAGTCTCACTTGACCCACCTTGAGAGCCATCTTGGCAAGGCCTTGTTGACCACGGGTGCCTGCGCTTAGGTACCTGCACACACTTAGGCAAGATTGTTTGTTTGATTAGTTCGGGGGTAGGGCGGCCTCTGCCCTCATCGCCGAAGACGCCCGTCAGCCGAAGCGGGGCGACGTCCGACTGAGCGGCCGGAGATGTCTGTGCCTGGCCCGGGCGGAATCGCGACAAGCTCGGCCGAGCCTCGTCTTGGCGCCCTCTACGAGCATAGCCGGAAAGTTCCTTTAGTCAACGCCAGATCTCCGCCCAAAGGCGGGAAGACGCATTTGGTGACACCTCGCCGTTGAGGCCTTCGCCACCCCCGCCAAGGCCGTGTTACATGATTCCCCCCTTTTGAGACCACGGTTGCTGGCGTGTTGCGTGAGCTCAAAACGCCTTGACCAAAGGCGTCCATGGGGCGGAGGCCACACGCATTGGCGTCTCGGCGAGGCCCGCCACTTCCCCCAGCCCGCTCTGGCGTAGCCGCTGGTCTCGTTGAGAGTAGCCGTTGGGCAGCAAATCTAGCCGTTGTCCTATAGTGTGGCCGTTTATGCTTTATCAGTTTCCGTTGTATACCTTGTGACTTTTCCGGAGATGACCGTTGTGCGGCAGGCGAGTTCTCCGGAGATGACCGTTGTATGGCGGGAGCCGGACCGCCTGCCCGCGGCCTATATAAGGGCGTGGTTTATGGTGGGGTCCCCCCCCCCACATTGCTCATTTGCTTTCCTTGCCTCTGAGAAATCGCTCTCTGCTCTCTTCGCTTTCGCCTTTTTGCGCCTCGCGTTAGTCTTCTTTGCTGCGTCTTGCGCTTAATTGCTTTGTCATGATGGCTTTCTTTTCCGCCTCCACCCATACTCGCCGGCCCACCTTATTCGGACCCTATCGCCACCTTCTCGGCGTTAGGGCACCGGCTGGGGTGCGCGTTTTGAGGAGTGCATGCTTGCCTCTGCCTCCGCATTGGAGTTTGAAAAGCTAGTGGAGGAGGATTTGGGGAGTGTCTCTGTGTTCGTCGGAGACCTGATCGCTGCGGATTCCAGAGACATGGCGATAAAGTCATGGGATTTCGGCCCCTCCTCCATTACTGAAGAGTCA